CCGCTGCTCGGGCCCCCTCGTCCTCGCCTGCTGGGCGGAGGGAACGGCTCCGCGCCTGGACGCGTTCGCCGCCCGCCGCTCGGCAGCAAAGGTGGAAAAAACCCCCTCGTCGCTGCGAGTGTAGGGGTGTTAGGCCGCCAGTTTGTCACCGTATGGCTGCCCGCCCTTTTCTGTCCCCTACCCTCCTATCGCAGGAGAAGATAAGCTGCATGCGTCTTTAGACTGCTTCCTTACACGTCACCGTGACCGTTGCTCTCGTGCAATTGTCAAGTCAGAGTATAATGCATAAAAAGGTTCAGTAAATAAGGTTGGAGGGAATGGCGCTTTTCTTGTAATACTGCCTCACTTCTATAAATTTAAATTTTCTTAAGTTGAAACAGACAGGGAACTTCATCTTTCTATTCTCTATTTCCTACTTATTTTGTTTCTGATATTCTTCAAGAAGGCTGGTCACAGGCAGTTGGACCAGATGAGTGTTGTAGGTCCCTTCCAACAGAAATATTCTATTCTGTGCTATTCTATTCTATTCGTGTCTTCTACCCCTGGTTTGCCCCGAGGAGTTTGCTTGTTTACAACTTTGGAAGATTTTTTTATTATCTGCTTTAAGGAATTTAAAAAGATGCCACTGTTTTATCTTAAATGCTTCCTTCTCCATTGATCCATCAGATTCAGCACTTCCTTCAGCTTTTTCTTTCTGCTGCCATCGAAGTCATCTTTCAATTAGTCTTTGTTTTACACCAGCTGAATTCACCTAGGAGCCCTTTAAACCTTTTCATGTCATCCTATCTTCATCATTATGAAGTGGGTTGTGGTCTTAACATATGTGAAACTGTCCTGTTGTTTTGTGGGAGGAAACACTGCCCCCTTCTTCATTAGCCTCCTTTGCTAGTAATTTATTGTGTCATTGTGTTCTCTTTGACCTTCCTTTCCTGCTTGCTACCCTGCTCCCTCCTCAGTAAGCATTTAAATACCCTTTCTTCCTGTCTGCCTCTCTGGCAACTGAGGTGGTCCAACTGTTTGTTTCTGCCAAAAGGGGAAGGTTTTGCTCCCGCTTCACTTCCACTTTGCTACACAGTCATACTCTCTTATTTGTGTTCTCTTCAATATTTGGTTAAATGAGTTTAATTGGGTCACAGAGGGATCTGATAAGCTTCTGAGCTGGTATGAAATTTTTGTTCTGTAATGAGGCAGGATGAGCTGAGGAAAGAGAACCTTTCCCCTCTCAGTAGCAGTTGGTTGTCTTATATAGACTTTACTGCACAACTCTGTAGTTTTCAGGACAGCTTTTGGCTGTTTCTTAGAAGTACAATGTCCTCCTACTTGATAATGCTTTGATTCTTGCTCCTAACATGCTTTATCAGTTTAATAATTCACCCAGAACAAAAACTTTCCCATTATTTGCTTTGCATTCTAAGATCTAACTAATCTAATTGCTTTTCTTTCATTTGTGATGGCAGCTTTGCATCTTCTCATCATCAAAAGTATCAATTTTATCTTAAGTTGCTGCAGGTAATTGTCAAATGCTCAAGAATTCTCTGACTTAACATGTCACATCCACCTGCGGTATCTTAGGGTGCGAACTGTTAATATAATGTTTTTCTATGCTTTTGTACAGTCCCTAACACATGGGAATTCTAGTCTTCTTAAATAATTTCCTCTGTTATTATTGTACTTGATTATCTCCTCATCTATTTACTTATTTCTTTTTGAAGAGTTTGTCTCTACCTTTTTCCTCCTTCCCACTGTTAAATGTGAAATTACTTTATGTAAATATCACTTGCTTATCACACTTCTTTAACTTATGACCTGTAGATAGGAGGCTTATGGATTGTCTTACCTTTTTTTTTGCTATCAATTACTTTAAAGTCTGAAGTCCTCCTCAAACAAGTGTTGCCAGCTGTTACCAATCACTAGACCTCGTTCCTATTGCGGTTCTCCTTTCAAGGCAAATATGTTTGATCTTCCTTGCCCAGCGTTCCAGGTATTCCTTGCCTGTAAATCATGTTAGTCTGTTACCTTTGCCACTGCTGGGATCCAGTTACTCCTGATGCACAGTGGAATCATCCACAATGATTCCTGCATTTTTGTCTTTGAAGGTTTCCCATCTCCACAGTGGGACAGAATGCTCTAGTTTTTTCCATGTGCTCTGAGAAGAAATACTATCTTTGTCCCATGCTTTCTGACATATACTGATTTTTCTCTTTGCTTTGGTCATAGCTACCTTTATAAAAAAATACTAAATATCTTCTGAATTCTCTTTTTACTTGGGTTCTTTTAAATCATTGCACTCGTTTTAGTCTTCTGAGGAATAGACAGGGCTACCCATGGAAGGCCTGACAACATGGTCTCCTTTTACTGCCTGAAGATGGGTAGTTACACTTTTGACCACATTGCTTAATTATTTATTTCATTTAAGTTATCTGCAAAATAGCTGTGATATTAAGTTTGTCTCTTCAGGTATGTGTTGAAACTTAACTAAATTTTGTAAAGTGCTCTGAGAGCAATTGAAATGCAAAGCATTGTTGGCTTGTCCTGCTTCACCTACCTTGCCCACGTGGCTTTCTGCAACTCCAGATTGTGGTTTGGGGCATTCAGCACTGCCATTTCCCTACCTTAGAGGTGCTTTTAACACCTTTCATCCTTGTGTTAGTGTGTAACCAGATTCAGTGTAAAGACCTCTTCAGAAAAATCAAATGCACTTCTAGTCTTAAAGAAACAGCAGATATTTTTATAAAATTTACTAATTTCTAGAAGATGTATATGTTGTGGACATTCAGGTGTTTACTTTGCCTCCATTACTGTGTTTCCTGTAAAAACTATAAGCTTTAATTCTGTAGATTAGAAGAGTGAAACAAGAAACAACAATGCAAAGGATTCTGGCAGGCCAGGAACGAAGGAATTCTGAGAACTTGGGAATACAGAACTGAGCTGTCTTGACTGGATCTTCTGTAAGGTCATAGCCTTCTGTGTCTGCTACACTTGAATATTTAAAATATTCTTTTCTCTGTGGTACTGCAGCAAGTTTTAACCTTTTGTGGATCTTGGGTACTTTGGCCCAGCTCTTTTCCTTCCATTTGTTTCATCTATAATCAGTAGTGAGGTAGCTTTGTATTTTGCAAGCTGCTGGATACAAATGTTAAGTGCTTCATCTTTTCTGCAGGTGCTGTTCTTTGGATTTGGGTGGCTATTCTTCATGCGTAAGCTCTTCAAGGATTATGAGGTGAGAAGGGACTTTTCATTACAGGTCTATATCTTAAAACTTACTCCCAATTATAGAAATATTTTTAAAACTGCATTTGGCTTTTTTCTTCTCTTTAAGCCCTCTTATCTTGTTTTTAATTGTCTCTACAGTTACTTTCTAATTTCCTCTTGTACTTCAACTTGAAAGACTCATAGATGGCTGAGGAAATGGGTTCTCTGGGGCCAGTGAAAGTTTCCATATTGGCTACGGTTAAATAAAAAAAAAACCCAAAGTGGAGGAGGTGCAGGGGTAATAGGAAACTGTTTTGCCTTTTGCTTGAGTAAGCCTGCCTTATGTAATGGTAAAATTTTTGAGGCAAAAGCAAATTCAGCGGTTAACTTTAAACTCAGTGAGGTGTGTTCACTGTGGCTGAATTGTTTGTGAGGATTGGATGGGATAAAACTGCTGCATTCTCTTATCCCTAGAGATGTGAGAGAATACAGTCTAGGTCACAGATGGCTTAAGTGTGAGCCAAATTCAGACCCCAGAAGTTTTTCTGATGTGGATCTTACTTTTAAATCTAAGGTTAAGATCAAAGAGCTCTGTTAGCAAGGGCCTGTCATTAGTGAAGTTGATGTAGAGCACTGCATGCTTGACATGCCTTCTGTGTAAGGCATCTCTGTTAAATGTGCCAATAGCTGCAATCAGTGTAATACTGAGCAATGTAGGAGTTCACCCTCTGGTTTCTAACAAGCTGTTGGTTTCTTCCTGTTTAGATAAAGGGTAAGGTGCCTTGAAGCAAGAGACCCAGTTGTGTGCCATCGTACCTTGTGATTTGTTTTTGTTACCTGAGGGATATCAGGATGCCATTTTAGGAATGGAAATGCCTGATGTCTCTGGTTCATTTTCTCCATTGCAGGTGCGACAGTATGTGGTCCAGGTGATCTTCTCTGTGACTTTTGCCTTCTCTTGTACCATGTTTGAACTCATCATCTTTGAGATTTTGGGAGTGCTGAACAGCAGGTGAGTCTGGGAGCTCACTCAAGGACTAGCCTGCCTTGTGTTCTGCAGCATCTTCAGTCCAACTTCTAAATTAATGGATTAGTCTTGGATTGGGGAAGTTGTGTGAAAATATTGTCAACAACTCAGTGGAGGTGTTTGAGCAGCAACATTTGTTTATTTGACAGAACATGAGACTAGAAGCCATAAGCTCCCAATTTTCCATGCAATTGCTATTAGTGTGGTCTAGGTCCTTGGGCCAAGGCATTAGTCTTTGACTTTCTCCATTTGTGAAGTTAAAAGAAATGATTTCTTTTATGGGAGTATTGTGAAGCTTCAGATCATGCTGAAGAGCACTTTTCAGATGTTAAGGCCTATAGAAACTATAAGTGCTAGTTTTTCTGTGGTGGTCAGAGCAGCGAATAAGATGTGAAGCTAATTGTGGAGTGAAAACTATTTCTGTAATAATACGGTATTTGTGAATCAAAGGCGCATCATCCCTTGAACATAGGGTGAGGACTTCTACATAAAGAGGATGTTAAAAAGTGTCTACTTCAGAAGTCACTAGGAAAGAGAAGGTAGAGCAGTAACCTGTAGAGGCTAGCTGGGTTTCCTGTTTATTCTCTCCTGTCATACTTGTATAAGAGAGCAGTCAAAGGAGTTGAAAGGCCAGAAGTACAAAACTGATAAAAGGTAATGTTAGTTCTGATTGTATGTTATTAATCTGTAGAGCTTGCAGCCAGAATGATCACTGAGGAAAATGCTTTTGTAAGTGTCAATAAAGGGCTGGACATCAATATAGATGAAAATGCCTCTGAATTAGCTAGGAAAAAGTGACAAGGATCCTTGTAATTTCTCCTTCCCCAAGGCATAAAGAAGATATAAGTTAATATTGGGAACAGGACTTGTATTTTTCTGTTCAAGCTAAATGAAGAGTCAGTTCAGCCAAGATGAATCTCATCTGCATTGGACTAATCTCCTTTGGTCAGAATAGTATTGATGATTTTGGTATATATGTGTATTTTTAAATTCTTGCTTTGCGACGTCTTGCAAATGAGACAACTCACTTTGAAGTGAAACATGTTGAATTCTGAATGTTAATATTTTTAATCTTTTCAATTTGAATTAGCCCTTTTTTGACCCAGCCACTCATCACAAAATTAATTACTGCTTATACTTAGTTTTGATTTACTGTTCAACTAGATGAGCAGTAAGTCAAATGGATGATGCTGCAGCCGGCATTTGTCACTGTAGAAATACAGTATTTGATAAAATAGCCCAGATAGTTGTTGATTTTGAAGTGCACATTCTTGAGTTTTGTAGTAAAAAACAAAACAAAAACCCAAACCAAACAACCCCCCCTCCCCAACCCAAACACCAAACGAAATCCAGAGTATTCTATATGCTAGGCCAATATTATCCAATGCTTGATGTAGTTGAAAGGATTGCATTGACATGTGATTGTCTTTGAGAAATTTGTTATATTATGATAGTGTGCTAATCAGTATTTGGCTTTATTTCAGCTCTCGATATTTTCACTGGAAGCTGAACCTGTGTGTCATTTTGCTCATCCTAGTCTTTATGGTACCCTTCTACATTGGTTACTTTGTTGTGAGCAATATCAGATTATGTGAGTATTTGGTTTATGGCAGTGGGGCTGCTAACTTGAGATTATGCATATGAATGAGAAATACCTTATCTGAGAGAGAGAGGTGTTGGTCACTGTCCCTGTAGCTCCCTCCTTCCTCTGGCTTTGTTCTGGCTAGATAACTTCTCTTTGGAACTTCAGCATGAACTGTTTATTGAGCAGTTAGGAGATGCTTTACCTGACCCCAGCAAATGCAGGTTTTCTTCATGGGTTTCAACAAAGTTGCGCACTTTAGAGTAATGTTACTGGAATTTGTTCCTTTACAATTTTAAGCTTGCAGCCAAACCCTGGAACCCTTCGCAAGGCTGTGTTGTTCTGCTAGAGGGTAAAAGAAATGTGGCAGGGAAGCTCAATAAATTACTTTTGCTTTTTTTGCTTACTACTGTCTGAATGAGGCCTCTTCCATGTGCTAATGGACACGTACCCTTGAGCTATTGATATTCATCGCTCTTTTGTATTAAGCTTAGACATGTAGGTTGGAAGTATAAAATGTGTAGTTTTGGCATGAAAATGAAGTTTTCAAGTTCAGGGTCACACAAGAAAGGTGCAGCTAAGTGTTCCCCTGTTCATAGTGCAGCCCTTGTCATACATCTGTGGGGAAAAGCCAAAGTGGTACATTGTTGCATTAGCTCTTGCTATGTCTCTCAAATAGCTGGTTCAGTAGGAAGTGAAGGGGGGCATACTGCTAGCTGTAGCTCTGTTAGTTGACACCTGTTTTGGCCACCTGTGCTCAAAGTAGCCTTTGGACCAAGGTAGCAATTTTGCAAGCTTGAAGAAGCCCTAGAGGAAGAATGTCTTTAAAATACTTGTTTTTTTCCTCTCCATTAGTGCACAGACAGAAACTGCTTTTTGCGTGCGTTCTCTGGTTGACATTCATGTATTTCTTCTGGAAGCTGGGGGATCCATTTCCTATCCTCAGTCCAAAACATGGTGAGTTTCATATTCTTGCTGATTAATTCGCTCCTGAAAATAGGCTTTGTTATCTCACTTTTATCTTGGAGCTATTATTATGTTGTCTCAGCTCTACAGTTAGGTCTGTAGAAAGTAGTTCTTGCAACTGAGGGTCCACTCTGCTTTGAAATCTGCAATCTGAAAGTTGTCAGACTGACAGAAATGGGTAGATACATCTGAATTATTTGCATTAGTTTTCTTGCACAATTACCACAGAAAAAACTTCAGGGAAGTGAATGAGTCCTAACTGAACCTAGACTAGGTAAGAACACGGTGTACTTTTTGAGGACACAAAAACTTCATCTCTGCAAATAGTTGATCACAATTTTTATTCACTTGTTTATTTTCTTGTGGAGACTAAAGCTAATTTTTTTAAGAAGAGAATCAACAACCAATCCTCATCTGACTTTTTTCAGTCAGATTATTGTTTCTTGTGACTGAAATCAGATCACTTTAGCATAGGTGGCTGTCCAGTTGACAAAACATGGCAGGGTGCCTAAACACCAGAGCAATATAGACTGTAGCCAGCAACATGTCTAGCTAGCTTCAGTACAGCTTTGTACACCGCCTGAGCCCAGAGGCAGTACAGTTGCACGGTACTAGAATGTGAGTTGGTGAGTCCTGCTGGACGCCAGAGCTATTTATGTGCAGAATTAGCTTGGGTTATCTCTGCACCGGAGTCATGGAACTAAGAGTGAAGTGTGAAGATACTCTGTACACTTGGACTACTTTGGGTCCAACAGTAGCTACTTTGGGTCCACGTGTTAGCATGTGCCTAACTGTACTGAATCCTTCAGGCACTTAAGCGTACTGAAGGATAATAACACTGCAGAACCAGACTATTTGTCACTTCGGTTTCCTGTGTAAGTTATGTTGCCCTTATCCTCTGCACTGGAAAATTGTTTGTATGTATATTGTTCTCAACAGGTGAAATTCAGTCGGTTTCACTCAAATTGGTGAATATGTCTGTCTGCATAGATAACGGTCAGCTTAATCTTTCTCTGCTCTAGGAAGCTACTTTGTACTAATCTGTAAGAGAAAAACTGAAGGATACCAACTGCTGTAGGGTCTGCTCACCCTTTCATCTGTGATCCTAAAACTTCTCTAAGAGAAAGTGTGTATCTGTGTTTTGTAATTGTGTCATTTGCCACTGAAATACAGCAGCTAGTGCCTAGTGTTTCATTGCCAAGAGAAACATATATCCACTTTGAGTTGCAGAAGGTGCTTGAGAAGGCAGAATATAATAACCCAATGGGAATTTAGCTATGGGGTTTAGGTAATCCTCTTCAGATCACTGAAAAGGTTATGTGAAGCTGCATAACAACTGCAGATTTCCAGAACTGGTAGTGGGGTGTTTTCTATATTTAACTTCTGCTTCACAGGATGATACCTCCACAGTGCCTTATCCTACCAGCTGTAGACATAAAGTTAGAGCAAAGGATTCTAGGTTTTTTTTTCCCTGCTGTACTGCTGGGGTGCTGCTGCCCTGCATGTACGGACAAAGCTGCTGCAGGGCTTTGTCATGTGGTGGTGGCCTAATTCAGACAGGTGGGATCCTGTTGTGGAGGGAGATGTGGCAGGAGGCCATGCTTAATGAGCCCCTCATGCTGCAGTACATTACCTGTAGTGTCTTTCTCAGTGTGCCCCACCCTGCTCACCTGCATGTACGGTGGTGTGCTGCAGCCGGGGAATTGTGCTGACTAGTGGGGCCTCTTTAAGTACCTGCACTGGCATCCTGTGTCAGGGGGTGCCTTGCCTGGGGATGGTGATGGCAGTGTGCTGCAGCTGGGAAATGCACCATCAGTCAAGGGCTCTGAGTCAGGAGCCCTGGCTGGTCTGCAGCTTGTTTGATAGACCTGAGTTTGGGAGCTCATAGTAGAAGGAAAGTTATGCTTTACTCAATTGTGTACTAGTATTCTAGTAAAACTTAACTTTATCTGAGATGATAAAACATTCATTTTATCCGACCTGATCACAAGAGTAGGGTTGCTGTGTGTGTTATGGGGAAGCATTGCTTTAACCAGTGGAATGTCATGTCATTTTGAAGGCACCTCTGTTTTAACTGCTGCTGTCTGACAGTGTGTGGGGCAAAAGGCCAGTGTATTGTAGCACATTCTGTAGCTCGTGTAAATCTCTGTGCAGCTGCACATGACTGGGTGTCTCGGTCTCCCTTTGTGAAGTCTTTTTGCCTTGTTTTCATCATTTATTCCCCTTCTCTGAAGTGTGAAATGTGGCTTGGCGCTTGGCCATCTCAGCTTTGCGATCATGTAAGCTCCAAATGTGCTGTGTGCGGCAGCTGCTCTATAACTAGCTCCCTAAAAAGTGACTGATGTTAGTAGCACATGGCACTGTATCCTGAGAAGGCAGGTTGAGGTCTGTGTTTAATGACTGGGAGGAATAAAAGCAACTTCAGTGCTTGGTGTTGGTTACAGCACAGGCTTGATGTTCATGCTGTATTACATGAATATATGTTTTAGAGTCCACTTGGTGCTCAGGTGGAATGCCTTGTTGGCGGTCACCTCAACAGCGTGTGTGCGTCCACAAGATGAATACTGAACAACCAGGAGCAGCATAAGCTTCCCATGCTGTCGCAGTTCTGCTGTCCTACAAGCACAAGTTGCGTCTGATCTGGAGGGGTCACTTCTAATAACAGTTGACAGGATAGGGCTTCCTCTCTATGGTTCAGACATTTTTGGGCCAGTTTTCCAGGACTAACTGGTTTGGTAACTCTAATCCTGGTTATTGCAGAAGTGGCTTTGCGGAAGATGCCTCCTTTATAGTGTCTGGTGGATGATCTGCGTTCCCACCTCAGCAAAGTGCAATCACTAATGCTTTATTAATTTAGAACCAAAATATTAACTGTTAGTCCTCTCCAGGTCTGTCTTAAGCTTCTTCGTAGCTAGAGTTTCCCATCCCTGTTTCTAAGCATGGTAGCATGCTTTCTGAGGGAGACTTCCTACCTCTTTCTTTTCATAGTCCCTGTCTGTACTTCATATTACCTCTGGTCATTGCAGTAGGAAGGCAGTTGGATCCATAAAGCAGCTCTGTATGTGTGTTATGTTGTGAAAGCACCAAGTGTGGACCAAAGTGAAAAGAGGAAGGTTACTAATGCCGTGTTTTTTCCTCTCTCAGGAATCCTGTCTATAGAACAGCTCATCAGCCGCGTGGGTGTGATTGGGGTGACACTCATGGCTTTGCTGTCAGGATTTGGGGCTGTCAACTGTCCATACACTTACATGTCCTACTTTCTAAGGTAACTGCAGCCTTGTGAAATATTTTGTCTACCTTTTTGAGATTACTCTGCTTTTCCTGTGGCATTGATTCAAGTTTTTTCATAACTTTTTTCTGAATCTAGCTATTGCCACGTCTAGATGCTAGAACAATTTCCATTGCTGAAGCATATTCTCCTTATGCAGGCTTCTCTTTTCTTTGTTTCATGGGCATGTACATATTTCCACCGAAACAGGATAGCAGGCCTAATTGGGTGTCTTCATTTTGCAGGAATGTGACAGATGCAGATATTCTGGCTTTGGAGCGACGACTCCTTCAGACTATGGACATGATTGTTAGCAAGAAAAAAAGGTGAGAAGGCAGCAGTAGCATGAAATTATTTATTTAAAGGATTTTCAGTTGGTATGGTGCAAGATGGTTCTTGAAATTACCAAAATTATTAGTCTTCTCAGGGCTACATGTTCCGGTGAAACAGGCGGCTGAATTGGGTTGAGCTGTGTGGTATTTCATTCTGGCCTGCTATACAACTTCGTTTTTTTCCCAGACATATGCACTAAATAGTACCCTTTCTTACTGCAGTGGCACAGGTTACGCTTCCAAGACAAATTGATACTGTCTGATGGCACCTTGACTAGTCTGTAAGATGGGCACCTTTCTCTCCTGATGAGTAAGTGACCCTTAAGCCACTGCAGCTGGCTCTCTTACTGGTGGTGTCAGTACAGAAATTGGTTCATACATATTGAGCACTCTCCTGCTCTGTGGATCTGCTGTTTCCTGGTCAAGGCTGAAGCAGGCTAGTGAGCTGGCATGGACACAGCTATATTCTTGCAAATGGCAAGGTTTATGTTAGTTAAGTTTTGCAGAATTGCAAAACATTGCTAATGTGAATGCAGTGTAGTGCACAAGCATGTCGTCAGAACTGTGCTTTTGTTGGTTTAGTTTATTCCAGGTACCCTAAGCAAAAAAGCTACTTTTGGAAACAATGTAATTTCATTTACACTGGAAAGATTTTTGTCTGCTGTTACAAATTACATATTGCATGCCTTACTAATTGTGCAGAATAAATAAAATTACCATAGTCACTTCAAAGGTTTGGCTGTCTGACACTGAATTCTCACAGCAGTACCCCAAACTTTACTTTTGGTGCGCTAATGTTTTAATGGAACCTTTTAATGTATGACAAGGGAGCTTTTAGGTAGTCTAACCTTGCTGAATTAGTCACCAGCGTGTGTATCTGCTGATAAGTATTAGCATATGAAAGTGTAGTTAAAGCATAACTTTTTTCTTCCCCTTTGAAAACGTTAAGTGGCGAACAAATGTTAACTCCATATTTGTGGTCGTGTGAGATGGCGAGTAGTGAGTACTCAGGTTTAATTGATTTAATTGACTAGAAGCATACTAAAATACTGGCTTTGGAGTTAAAAGATACTGTGTAGTGCTGCTTCTGACTCTGTGCTCTTTTGTTTTGTATAGCATTTTTGGTCCTGTGGTCCAGGGAGAGTGATGTTGGGGTAAAAGTAAGGATGCCTGGGACTTGTAACTGACTAACACTTTCTTGCCTTCCTATGGCCAGGCAATCTTCTTAATATAGCAACTTTCTAGCCATTATGAAGAGCCACGTAAAGTGCGATAATCACTTGGGAATTATACTGAAGTTCATGTATTGGTGTTTTTAAAAAAAACACCCACCCACCAAAACCCAACTCCCCACCCAAAAACCCCCTACATAGTCTCAGAAATGTGCAAGAAATAGCAGAAGCTCGAGTTCTGTAGATTTTGTTCTCTTTTTGCTTTGACAGGGAGCAGTGGCTTGCATAATTGGACTATTTGCTCATGTAAAGCAGAGCTTAAAAAGTTAGATTTGTATCAGTCTAAATGCAATCCAAATCACTTCGCAGAATAGTGGGAATAACAGTAGTTTACAGTGTAGGGTAAATGCTATAATTCCATAAATTGTCAGTTACTTGCTGGCCACCTTTTCAGTACTACTGATAACTCAGAACTTATCACAAGGGTTATAAGGCAATAGAACATCAAGCTTCTTTGTTTTCTTTGCTGATCTTGGCATTTCTTCTCATACAACCCTTATTCACACTGGCTCCCTTGTCAGTAGGAGATGGTTGTTGAAAGTTGTTTTCCCTGATGCTTTTTGCACAGGAATTATTGTTTTCTCCTTCCTGAGTGTATTCAAGTAAAACCTTATGGAAATTTGCCTCTAAGATTGGTGGGTTCTTTATATTCATCCTTGCAGGTATGACATAACTAAGCCTCAGGTTTGAAATGCCTAGATTCTGTGACACTATTGCTTCATTTTGGTTCATGTTAGGGTCACATCAGCCTATCTGATGTAGGTATATCACATATCTACACAGGCAAAGTGTGTGGTTTTTGCCTGTGGATCCTTTCTATGAGGTCTCCAGAACTCCTCACTTCTGTGTGGGTACAGAGATCCCTGTCAGCTCTCAGAAGAAAAGATTTGCCTTTGTATACTTACAGCCTTGTGCTTCACCTTGACATAGCTGCATTCTTGCTGCAATGCTGTGGATTGTTTGGGATGGATTGTGTGAATTGGGTACTGGGAAGAAAGCAAGGGTTGAAAATGCAGTTCTTTTATTTGGCAGCTATCAGGATGAATTGAATCGTTCTAGGATCTCTGTTATTTGTAGTCTGTGGCCATATGTGCTTTTATGTGTGTTATGTGTGGTGCCCCAAGGGTGTTTCTTTTGCTGGATGTGAAGGAGGAGTGATTTTTTTTTTTTTCGTTACACTGCTTATCAACAACCTTGAAGAGGGCTCAGTGCCAAATGTAGCAATACTGGCTGCAGCTACAAGAAAGGGCCTAAACACTGTCAATTCATGGGTTGCCTTGACAATCCTATGAATAGTTTTCAGCTTAGGAGTGGATAACTGGCTCACAAATTTGAATGGGGAGAAATGTGAGGGAATGAGGCCAGAAGCTGGCACTGCCTGTGGGGATTATGCTGTGGTGCACATGGGAGTGTGAGGGACAATGTGCAGCTGCTGCTGTAGTGTTGGTATTAGGTTTAGGAGTCATGTTCAGATCACCTGAAGTGTCCAGTGGTTCAGTCCAATAATGGATTTATGTGTTTCTGCTTCATAACAGTCTTGTCATGCAGCCCAGCAGTGAATGACAGCATATCAGAGAGTCTGCTGCATACCATCCAGCGCTCACAGTTCTGTGGAAGAGGCAGATGTGCAGTGATAAAGGAGAGGTGTTCAGGGGGAGAGAGGAGCATGAGAAGTCTTTTGATTCCCAAACCTGAGATAGCACAGTCTTGTGTTTGGGGAAGGGAAAGTGACTAACGATATGACTTAGAAATCCATTTGAATTTGAATGTTTATTTTTAATTGGGTTTAAATCCCTTTAAGGTTTGAAATAGGATCCTGAATGGAAGTCTTGGGAAGTGTCTTATTGAATCTCACTTGATTGGATCTGGGCTCTACTCCAGAGCTAATCAAGATAATGTTATGAAGCAAGATTGGTGCTTGGGGTGGGGGGGGGGAAGAGGGAATCTGTTTGCAGCAAGTTTTGTTTAACAGTGACTTCTAAGGAACTTTGGGTTTTTAAAATTTGATTTTTTAATAAAAATACTTTAGTCCTAAGGACTTGTGTTTCCTGTTCTTTCAGGATAGCAGTGGCTCATCGGACAATGTTCCAGAGAGGAGAAGTGCATAACAAACCCACGGGCTTCTGGGGAATGATAAAAAGTGTTACAACATCTGTTGCAGGCAGTGAAAGTATCCTTCATCTGCATGCTGGCGTCTGCCTCAGGAGGTGGCTCCAGCTTTCTTCTGTTTTGAAAGAAAGAGTGTTATCTGGGCCAGTTACAAAGCATTTGTGTTTCAACACGTTTCAGCAGTCTGAGCAAAAGGCTTAATGTCTCCTGAGAAGTTTGCTCTCTAGCACAGTACTGTCTGACCTTTTGCCCAGGGGTTGGACACATAGTTTTACTATGACACAGTTGGGAGTTGCATGCTGCTGCCCTGCCCTATAAATCTGCTGTTGCATCAGCATGGTTGAGGTGTACAGCAGATTGCAGGACAGATGTGCACACTTACGGTGTCGCACTGCAGATGTCTACCCCACCACATCACTGACATGGGAGGCATCTTTCTATTCTGATGTATCCTCTGCTCATATGACTGACCTGCATGTGTATTTTTCTCCTAACTTGAACTGTGCTCTTCCGGGATGGAGAGCCTGTGACGTACTTGAGTAAAACAATGGGGTTGGCTGAGGTGCTGGAACAATTTACCTAGCCTATAGTTGACTTTCTGGCCATGTTGGAAAGCCGGGAGAAAAAGAAGGGCAGGAAGCAACTAGCTGACCAAATAAATTGTTCTCATGATATATATATATAGGCTGGCCACTGATGCTATAGCAATGTGACAAAAAAGGTGGATAGGAACAGGTGAACAGAAGTTGTTCTGCCCATGTGAAAGGGGTAGAAGGAATCGGTTGGGAATTACAAGGGTCTGTATTTCTCTAACTTACAGTTGCCTACCAACAACTTCTGCTAGACCACCTAAAGTGTGCAGTTTGCATATTTAAGGCTGAGGGCTCTTCTTCCTCTCCTTTCCCACTAGCTGTTAAAATCAGAATTTGGCTATTTGACAAGACTCTTCATAATAATCGCTAATCTCTTGGAGTAGTTACTCAGCAGTTTTGTTTATGAAGATGATGTAAGAGTGACATATTGAGAGATGCACTTCAGTGACAAGGGACACTGATCAGAGTGAAGCAGCAGTCTTCCAGAGCTCTGGTTCTATTCTACAATGTGTTCTTCAGACAGAGGAATAAAGAGCTTGTTGCATGACTGCCTAAATACTGTGTACTGCCTGCCTTCTTAAAATGGAGTAGTGTGCAGTATGTGTATCCTTGAGATTTTTTTTGGTGCAGTATTAACAAGGAGCATTAAGACTGAATCAGAAAACTGATCTGGGTCAAAAAAGTGATCAAACTGTTAGATGTGGCCCTTGAGCTGAAGGTGGAGAATGTTTTGTTTTTAATTAAGAATTAGTGATGTAATCTAGCCTTGACTATGCTGGTTTGCCAGACCTGTCCCTTATCCAGCAAGAAGTGGATGCCCTAGAAGAGCTGAGTCGGCAGCTTTTTCTGGAAACTGCTGACTTGCATGCAACAAAGGTACATAGCAAAGTAACTGCCCAGGTGGGTGTTGGGAGGCCAGAGTAGTTTGAAAGAGAATGTATGTTATAAGAAATTGAAAGGTGTTCAGCAGGTAAATGTTGAAATGTTGCCATGTGGTGGAGTGAGGATCTGTTTCTTTAATTTGGGTTCTAGATGGCAGTTTCCTTCCAGTTCAGAGACATACTGGACTATGCCCCATGTCCCTAAAGCCATTCAGAAACTTTTGAATTAAACGTTTGAGTTCAGAAACTTTTGAATTAAGAGGTGTAGAGGGATAAAGCTGTGTTTGCTACTACTGGTGCTCCATTAAAATTGTGTGTTGTGGATGATTGTGGAAATGATATATTTTTTTGTGTGTTCTGTTCCCCATCCCTCCTTTTGTATTTCCAGGAGAGAATAGAGTACTCAAAAACTTTCCAGGGAAAATACTTTAATTTTTTGGGTTATTTTTTCTCCATCTATTGTGTCTGGAAAATCTTCATGGTATGTAAATGTTTATTGTGTTTTATGTGGATATAAGCAATTGTCACACCCTGCATAGATTATGCTATACATGCAGTTCATCAATTAATGCTCCAGTTTCCTTAAAATCCTGCTTCTGGAAATTCTGAAAGAAACTGGTCCTTGGTTGAAATAAAGCTCTGGATCGGTCTTTTTGTATAAAGCATTAGACAAGCCATTCTTACATGTGTGCATTTTGCACCTTCCTAGACAATCTGACTGCCCCTGCACCTTTCCTAGGTGATACAAAGTAAGAGTCATGCATGTGTCTCACATGTGACAATGAAGTATGCTTTTATTTTCTTCTGTGAATGTAAATCCATCTCCCTCTTGCAGGCAACCATCAATATTGTATTTGACCGTGTGGGGAAGACTGATCCAGTCACAAGAGGAATTGAGATCACTGTAAATTATCTGGGAATCCAGTTTGATGTGAGACTTTATTAATTCTTATAGCCTTTTCAGCAATTCCAGTCTTATAAAAATAAAATCATACTGCTGAATGGGAGAGGGTGATAAAGCCATGAGAATGTGTCTTTGGCTTCTGACTTATTGAGTAGGAAGGGAGAACGCACCATGAACTTTGCTTTTGCGCTGATTTTATGCTGGGATGGTAATGTAGTCTTGCCAGAGAGATAGCGAGTTGCTTGTTTATTTGGGGCAAATGAAAACACCTTAGTCAACTTGCTTAGATTAATACATTTATCTACAGAGTAATTATGTTTGCATGTGCACGTAGGTGTGTTGTCATTTACACTTTTTAAATATATCCCTGTGAATACGGGGTTCTTTGTGATTTCTCATGTGTTTGGAGTAAACAACTGCTAATGTATTTGTGAAAATGTCTGTTACATAAGCCTGTCTACAATGGATATCTGTACAATTAGGAAATACAAAGACCCTGAAGAATTGGGAGCTATACAATGTGGTGTAAATGGGGTTAACTTTAGAGATTTAACTGTATTCTTCTTGTTGATACAGGTGAAATTCTGGTCTCAGCACATTTCCTTTATTCTTGTTGGAATAATCATTGTTACCTCTATCAGAGGATTGTTAATCACACTTACAAAGGTAAGAGTCAGGACTCTTAATGTGGTTTTGGACCAGGAAAGCTGTTATCAGATCTTTAACTTTAGATGGGACAAATACTGTATGAACTCTCAATATGCATTTGTGTTTTAAATATCTGAATATAAATACTTGCAGAGGGAGGGAGAAAGGAAAAATACCTTCTGCAGTGTATTTCCCCACTCAGTCTCTATTGTTATTACTGTGGGGAAGAGATGTAGATGCTAAATGAGATGTTAAATGTAAGCAAGGGTTCAAAATGATGCTGTAGCTAGGGCTTATTAGTAAGGTTGATGAGATGGTGATTAAAAGAATTTAGATTGCTTAATTTGAGCTGTTGGTAGGACTCGAAAGGCATTAACTGAAGAGACATGTGGCTCATTGTCTTGACCTGGCTTTTGGTATCTAAGCTTAAACTTCAATATATATCGTTATATGACTTTTACCACGTGGTGCCACTGGCTTAGGGAGCTTCATGTTTAAGACTAAGACTGCAGGTTTCTGAAAGTAGGGTGCAGGCACCCCTCCAGAAAGTGTGCTTTTTATTGTTTTTTTCAATGAAGAAGCATTGAATGGTATGTACCTTTCGTGCTGTCCTAAGGCACATCAGACTTATCTGACTGCTTATTTCCAGTGCTTTTTTTCCCCCCCCCCAGTTCTTCTATGCCATTTCCAGCAGCAAGTCCTCCAATGTTATTGTTCTGCTTTTAGCACAGATAATGGTGAGTATGTAGAACCATGGGCACACCTGTATACATTTATGCATGCATACATATTTGTGTATGTATACATGTACACATAATAAAATCTTTGTATGCTGACCCACGTTAGCCACCTAGCCAATTGTGAAACAGTAACTACTTTCTCTTTTTTAATTTACAGGGTATGTACTTTGTGTCATCAGTGCTCCTGATCCGTATGAGTATGCCTCTAGAGTACCGCACTATTATTACAGAAGTCCTGGGAGAGCTCCAGTTCAACTTCTATCATCGTTGGTTTGATGTGATATTCCTAGTTAGTGCACTGTCCAGTATCCTTTTTCTCTATTTAGCACACAAGCAAGCCCCAGAAAAGCATATGGCCCTGTAAGGATGGACTACAGTCACACACTGCTCTCTGTCCTTTCAACTGCACTGCTGCAACTCCTGTGGACTGCAAAACTCGAAGACAGCCAGGACTATTCTGTGTGTTCCAGCAGTGTAACTGGCTCTTTGAACTTCCACACATGTCATTATCAAGCTCTGCGGCTCATTTTGTTAAGGTGCCACAGCTTGAAGGAAAGGCGATGCACGTATTGAATATGAGATAGTTCATTGCCAAGTTAGAAGGTCACTCCTTGGCACACCAGTACGTAGGGGCATTGGAACTTGCATAGTAGGCTGTCTGAGGTAAGACGTCTTACTTTTAGAAGAGAAGGCACCAAGACAATGTGATTTGTCTGTTGAAAATCAACTCATAATTGGGATTCAGAAGATGGTAATTCTGGAGTTGAATGTTTGAGTCTGTGGAATTAAATAAGCTTTTGTAATGTTCCATGCAAGCATCACAGTTGTTTTTTTGTCAGCCCCAAAGATTTGGCTGGAAGCGAGCTAGAAAGCGGCTAGGATATGCTGCCTGGCAGAAGTGAAGTGGAGAGAATTTCACTCCATTTCTGTATAGAGTGTATGCTAGTGTGTATCACTAGTACCTACTGTCCTTAGGAGCTGGAGATTAACTTTCTGTTGCTGAGTCTCAACTTTTTTTTCTCTCCCTGCATAAATGGAACTGAGGTTTTGGATTCCTCTCTGCTAGAGTTCATTGTGAAGTCAAAGACCACAGCTATGCATTGTTTGCCTTACATGTTACAAATTTGTTTACCTTATATGCTGTAAATTTGGTGTTCCCCACAACCTGTGTATTCTTCTACAGTAGCCCATTTCCCCTTCTTGATGTAATTCAAGGCATAAATTTCATTCATGTGACTTAAACTTGTAGCTTCCCATAGCCAATCCCAGGCTTTGTTTTAAAATTGTTCTGGAACATGAATCATAGATGGTAAGAGTAAGACCTGGGTGGGGAAGAAATAGCCACTTTAAACAATTTATTTTTGTGTTGTCTTCAGTGTGCAAGGAGGCAAAGTATGCAACAGCAGTATTACAGAGCCATTTATGTCACATTCAAGACAATGTGGTGTTGACTTGGAGTTAGACAAACCTGCATGACCAAATTATGTACACTATTCTAAATACCATGATCCACAACTGTATGCAGGAGAGAACAGTAGTGCTTAAACGTCTTGAGTTATGAATTACGAAGTTAGCTTAATGTTTGAAAGAAATTTCTGCAATGTTAGCAGGATAAAGGCATGTAATGCACAGGGTATGTTGGCTTATGCTGTTTCACAGCAGTTGTACTGCTGTTAGTATAGCATAGAAGAGTTGCCACAGAGATTGAGTTGATGGACTTGGATTAGGGGGAGAACTGCCTCTTCTGGGAGATGAGGAGAAATCAGTTGCTCTTCATTAAGAGCTTATCCTTAAAAGGCGAAGATGTTTATGAATCTATAAAAAGTTTCTGCCTTCTGCTGCACTATACTTAATTATATACTTCTAGTTATTTAAGCCTTTACAGAAGTGACTAACTGCCCGCTTTACCAGGTGGAAAGCCAATGAAGTACAATTGCAGAGTGTTAAATGAATGCAAGTTACACCGAAGTGTTTATTTCAGGCAGCTGCATTTCAGCAAGAGATTGCAGTCCTTTACAGGTATGGCACTCACTAGGAATAGTAAAGTTCTGGGAGGTGTAGTAGCAAAGAATGAATGACGAAAGAGGATTTGGAAGGTTTCTTTTTTGTTCTTGGCATAGTTTGTCTCCTCACAACTTTGTGTCATCATTGTTGTCACTGTCTGCTCTTGTAGAGGCAGCTGATTGTGAAGAGGAGGATGAGCTTGCCTGCAGAGGAGTAACAAAAATGTTCTGATTATTTTTAGTTTGTAAACATGCTTGACAGTCTGCAGTGTTATGAAGGCTTCCTATTTTCATCTGCACTAATTACGTACTTGTTTGAATGGCAGAATGAACCAACAAATGTGACTTTTGTTGTTGAAGCACTTTTTGGTTAAGTACATTTAGAGAGAAATTTGTTCAATAGAGGTTTCCTATTGTTTAGTTCCCATACCTGCTGAATTTGCACACAAAAGTGGTGCTAACTTCACATCTGGGAAATGCAGCTTGGTGATTAAGAAGCTTTTGAAAAAACTTGCAGCTGGACATTTGCAGGCAAGGCTAATGAAAAATGAATAGGAGACAGTGTTGGTCTTATTCTTCCTTGCTGTCTCTTTTGCATGATCAGAAAAGAAGCATTTAAATATTTAAGGCTGACCACACAGAGGGTTCAAAATCACTGTTTCAAGAAGAAATACCTTCCTGCTTTTCTGACTTCTGTCGTGCTTCAGATTATTTCTAATGGCATGAAGTAAGTAAAATAATGTCAAATCAGCACATTTCCTAGAAAATGTCATCATAACCTATCAGTTGCTCTGCTTTCTACAAAATGATCTGTTTTGAAATATTCACCTGATTTCCCCAGAAATGGTTTATACTTTTTGTTGTATTTAAGCACTTCTTTTCTCTGCACTTTCAGGATTGTGTTGCCTGTTTCCCACCTTCGTTAAGGATTACCATATTTGGATTATCTTGTTCCATAAAATCTCTTGTATGTGCATCCTTTCTGTGATTTAATCTTACATTAAAGATACTCACCTGTATTATGTGTGGGGAAAGGAAGAGTTGTTTATGATAATCAGACCATGGCTTCCCTTTTAATAACCTAGACTGACTTGTAAAAATCCAGGCTCAAGTTAAAAATCCTAGCTCAGAAATACATACTAGCTGAAAAAAGTTCTTTTTCTATCCCCTAGATGATCCCTCAGCATCTATTTAACGCAGTATTACTCACCCTTTCCCTTGGTTCAGGTGAGTGTCTCTCTGGCTTTGACAGATTGTTTTCTGTATAAGCGGGAGGTTCAGAAGTGTCATGGACTGGATCTGCCATAGAGACTGTGATGGGAATGTTCTGGCTCTGGAAGTATTTGTAAGCATCTTTGCTGCACACCAGTAGTGTCAGTCTGTCACCACTATCTTGGATTCTTGCCACCACTTTGTCATAGGATTCATTGATCACATTCACCCCATTCACTTCCACCAAAAAGTTGTTATTTTCTACACCTGCTGTGTCAGCTGGCCCGTGGTTTTGTACCTGCAAAGGCAAGTTCAAACTGTGGTAACTGATAGTTAGCTAGACTATTGTGTTACTGCTTTCCTTACAAGACAGCAAAATAAGCATGGAGAAGGGGGGATTTGTGGGGCAGAAATGAATTGGGAGAGGCAATAGGCCTGGACATAATAAACATGGAACCCATCAGTTTGAGATTTAAGGTGCATCTTGATTTTGATAGACTTTCATTATAGAAATATGCCATGGTAGAATCATGGAGAAAGGTGGAAAACTAATTTTCTTATTTGCAGGTCCCTGTCCATTAACTTTAACTTACTACTTTCCACAGATTCCCTAGTAATGAGTGGAACCCCTCCTCTCAAGAAAGCTAAAGGCACAGATGTAATTTGAGACAGTAGAGGTTTGACTTTTGCTAGCTGTGGAATTTAGAGAAGGGGGGTAGAGTGGGGCAAACGTGTCTCTCTTACATTTAGGATGTTCTACAGTCAAAAAAATCTATTTAAAATACCATTTTTAGCTTGCCAGCCTCATGAATAAAAGTAAAAATTATGCAAAAGCTGGATTCCCCTTCCCTTTAGATGTGTAACAGAACGAGGAATGTTTTCTGGTGCTTATTTTTTTTATCTTGGTCCTACAATGTCAGTCTGAATTTAACAATTACAGCTCTTATCTGAGGGTGCTGGAGAAGACTTGTCTTTTGTGGCTTTTCTTGAATGTATTTGTAGGATGGAAGGGAGGAAGCTGTCCAACAGACTACTTGAGCTTTTCCTTGTTCCTCATTCTACATTAGTACCTCACTGATGAACAGTCCAGGCTTGTTCTTGATCATGTTTAAACTGAAGCCAAATCCACTAGGCCCTTTCACCATCTTGCAGATTCTTGGCTTGTGGTTCATTTTCTGCTCAGTGTGCAACTCCACTCTTTCCTCTGTTTTAGCTGGAGCTGGATCTTGTGCTTTGTAGTAGTATGAGAAGGGGGAAATTTGAGCCTGAAAAAGTGACAAATAAAACGTTGTTAACATAAAAACTTCTGTTGTGAAATCTGTATTAGGCTTTCACGCTCAGCATGTTTTGTTTGAAACCTTTTTAATGACTCGGACTTAAGCTTCAATGAAGAACTCTTTGTTATTAATTTCTGGCTGAGTGGAAAACTACAGTGTTGATCTATGTGAGAAGGGAATTTTGTTACTTGTTTTATTCATAAATGGTTATGCAGCTGCGTAGCTCAGCATTTGCTGTCTTAAACTTCTAACCTTTCTTGTGGTGTGTTTAAATTTAGAATTGTTGCAACAGTGCCTATAAAAATCTGGAAGAGGCCAAAAATTTGGGTGTTTAGTGACTTGCTGTATAAGTGCAAGGAGAGTTGCTGAAATACGTGTGTATTTTAGATATTTCTTGCAAGTTGAAGAAGTTTCTGTCAGAGCAGGCTAGCTGTTTCATTGCTGCATATGTCTCTTAATAATGATAAATTATCAATTCTTAGCAGTAGTTTGCATTTTCTTACCAGTTTATACATGGCATCAGTCTCCTTATCCACTACCAACAGTGTGGTTTTTGCCTCAGACCGCTTAATTTTTCCCACTACGCTTTCATGATCCAGACCATCCACTTGCTCGCCATTGACAGCTACTAAGATATCATTGTCTTTGAGACCTGCCTCAGCTGCTGGGCTCCCAGAATCGACATCCTTGATTACATGATCTAAGATCAGGAGGGAAAAAAGATTGATGTGAAGGCATATGCTTGGTAAGTTTAAAGACATCACAATGCATGGCAAAGGCCAATTGTCAGAATTGCAATTCAGGTTGAGACCATTTTCCTGATGTAGCCCTGTTTACAACACATCTGTAGATGTAGACTTCTGGATGACCAGTAAGAAGTCAAAGAGAATGAGGTCTGCAAACCTTGTACAGGAATAAACTGTATAGCAAATGTCATGGGCTGTGTGTTAACTTGGTTCTTACCACCAGTATTTTGTTCCATCCGTAGATAAAAGCCATAACCATCTTTTCCCTTCTGGATCTCAATAAGTCGTGGTTTGAGGGGAAGCAATCTTAGGCTGGCACTCTCTTTGCTAAGTACCATCTTCTGGCTTGTGTAATAGTGGTCTGTTTCTTCATTTGAAAGTAGAAACATAACATGATTTTCAGACTTCTTCACCTGTGATAGTACATGTACAGTCTTAGATGTCACCCCTTCAACAACATGTGGGAATTGTAGATACTTGGGGAACTGGTGTACTGACACAGTGGTGTGTGGGTGCTTGTTGATGAATGAGCCATAAAGTGTAGGCCGTGCTGCTGTAAGTTGATTTCTCCCCTCGACCACTCCATTCAGAAATTTGGACCATGACAAGATCTCGGGCATGTAAGATCCAGCATATATCTGAGGAAATTTTCTGTATTTTACACTATGTTCCTGACCTCTAGGGAATTAGCTGTAGTGTGCCAGGAGGGTGGCATACAGTGCCAGTAGAATCCTGTGAGCCTCAGTAGGTAGTGCTTGCCTTATCTAGATGTGGAACTCTACAATATAGACATATCATGCCATCTATACCGCTATTTTAGATTACAGTGACAAGCGTCAAGGTTATGTCACTCTTGGTCCTCTTCCATGTCCCTGTATCACTGATTCTGAGGTTGTGGGAGGTTTTTTGTCTGTTCAACCTCTCCAAGTCCATCCTTCTCTTACTCCTTTCCAGTCTAATGGGTGCTCTCTTCACTCAACCAATGTCACTCTGCTGCTGTTACAGCAGCTCAACAAAACACAAGTGTTGCACCATTCCATGTTTAGTAGCATGCACTGAATTGTGATGCTGGAATGCCAGAGTATGTACTGCCTGTCTCATAGCTCTCTGAAATCTCTTCAACTCCAGCTGCGTTTTAGCAGTGCCAGTAGCGGAAAGCTGGAAGCCTCATTAGCAGTGTTCTGTGCAGCTGAGGCCAGGTAGTGAAATTACTTGCACAGTAATTTTCATTAGTTTTGGACTTCTTAACAGAAGAAAGGAACTACTGTCTAAAATAATGAATTTTCCCTGTTCCACGCTAACTGTATCATTGGAGAGTTCCCCCTCTTCCTGCCCTGAAAACCACATTTGATGACTTGCCCTTTTACCATTGGGAGTATTTCCAGGACTTCTAGGAACAGAGCATGATTTATTTAATCGGGTTCCTGGCAGCAGTATACTTCTGTTATTTAAAATTCTTTGGCCTGTCTTGATTGCAGTGTTCAGAGTCAGTTCAAGAGGCTGCTTGACAACAGAGCGAAAGCAGAGGGGTACTCTGCCTTGTTGATGATACATGAACACTAGCTTCAAAGATTTACTGTGAAGCATTCAGATCAGCCAGACCTGTCTCCTCAGTAACCCTGATTGATAGGTTGCTGTGAAAGTGGGCCAGAACAGAAGATGAATCAGTATACAAACAAATACCTTTTCTACCACTTCCTCATGTGTGTCATTTTCCACATTTTTTCCATTGATTTCAATCAGGCGATCATTATTTTGGACACCAGCCTTTGCAGCTGCTCCTCGTGATGAAAGCTCTACTATGAACAACCCCTTCTGTCCTAAAATAAATGAAAACTCATTACATTACACAGGGTAAGTCACTGAAATATGCTTGAATTTAATGGTTAAGGAAACTCGGCACTGATGTCCTTACAGACTCTTGGTCTCTGCTTATGTGCAGATTATAGTGGCACCACAAGCCTTCCACATAGACACACCTCTATCTCTTATTCTGGAAAAATCACTTCTGTGGGGGAGGGAGGCATTTGTTCACTATCTGCAGCTCAAACAGTCTTTTATGTCTCTACCAAGAATGCCAAAGGGGCTGATTAAGATAGCTGAAAGGGATTTGATTCCCACCCCCCTTCCCTCCCAGTTTGAAGTGATGACCTGCTTTTATTGTTGTTTTAATACATTTCATCATTTCCTGTGTTTGGAAGGCTTCCATGTTTGGTCTTTCAGTTATATTGCATTCCAAAATACCCTCTTTAGAGGTGATCCTTTCCAGAAGACTTCCCTATTGTGTTGACTGGCCTTGGAAGAAAGGCATGTGTGGAGGAGGTTCAAAATGCCTTGCTTTCTAAATGAAATAACTCACAAATCAGGAAAAGTGTTTATTACAGCTGTCGAACCTTGTGTGCTGATTCCTGAGGTGACTTGGAGGTATGGAACAGGACTTAATGTAGCACCTTGAGTGTAGTGTATATCTAGTATTTGAGCAGGGGCTATGAATTTGGTTTTGGTAAGTGGGCTTAAATAACTAGCAGAAAATAGCTTATTCTTTTTATGTCTTTTTTTTTTTTTTTTTAATCTTTTCTCCACTCCATAAGAAAAGTGGTCCTCGGAAAACAGTGTGCTGCATATGCTGTACAGAAATGGACTAGAGATGGATCTGAACTCATCTTGCTGCTTCTCTCTTTCTGTCAGCAAGAGCAGTTTGTGTGTCCCCATTGGCTCCACATGTTAACAGTGGTTGCCTCTGTCCCTGCTGCCATAGAGATATATATATATACACACACACACAGAGATCCCCAGGCTCTCACCTTCTGTGGTTTTCAGGGAGAAGCCATAGCCTTTCTCCTCCTTCACTAGGTAGCAGAGCCGGGGTTGTGGAACTGCAGTGGTTGCTCCATTGGCCATGGGCAGTGGGGACTGCTGCTCCTGCTGCTGTCCTGTTGACACCTTTTGGCCCAGCTCTTCCAAGTTCACTCCCTCCTTTTCTGCCTTTTGATAGGATGCGTCATCCAGAACAAGAAGTACAACAGAATTCCCGCTGTTTTTTACAATCTCCACCACCTGTAGTGGACAAGGTGAAATGGCAAGCAGGTCCTAGAGTAACTGACCTAAAAGCTCTCCCCAGGAAGGGTTGCACTGTCTACTGTTTTTGTTGCCTCATCCCTCTGCTTATGCACTATGGAGGCACCTCAAAGACATTTCGTGCCCATGATGGGTAATAAATGATGCAGGGAGACACTCAGAGCAGTTAACTCAACTCTTGGATTTCCTAGCTGAAGATGCCATAAAAACTGGAAGAGAAAGCTTCACATAGTGGCAGTCGGTCTAGGTGATGGGGGAGTGATGTGGATCCCAGACTAAAGAGAGATGTACCTGTGCATGTTCCTCCTTGTCTACAAACACACCATTAACCCTGAGGACTCTGTCTCCATCCTTCAAGCCAGCCTTTTCAGCTGGACTGTTCTTTTCCACATTCCGGATGAGATGCCCTGCTGTGTCTTTCTCAATACGCAGGTAGAATCCGTAGCTCTTTTGGGGCTTTTTGGTCACTGTACATTCTCGGGGCTGGAGAACAGAAGTCATCTCTATCAGACAGGATGGAAAACATATGTGTGAGTAAAAACACTAAGGTTACCTAGATATGTTCCCTCTAAATACATATTGAGACAGTTTGCTCCAAAATTCTTGGGTTTTTGTTTCCCAGGAAGTCCAGCTGTGCAAAGTTGAAGCTAGTTAACAAAACTAGGGAGAAGACACCGATCCCTTTTCCCTCTCCCTCCTTGCTTTGCTTTTCTTGTCTCCCTATCTCAAATGAAATTAAGCAAGATGCAGAACTGGAAGAAAGAAGTTGTCTGCCTGGGATAACATAGTGAAAATTGAGGTGAGGATTTAATACCAAAATTAAGTCTTACAGAGGAAAAGTAATGGCAGCACAAAAATCCTGGAACACTACAGGAAAGTTACGTGACAAAATGGGATTTCACAGAATCGCAGAATGGTCAAGGTTGGAAGGGACTTCTGGAGGTCATGTGGTCCAACCTCCCAGCTCAAGCAGGGCCACCTAGAGCCAGTTCCCCAGGAACAAGTCCAGATGGCTTCTGAATATCTCCAAGGAGGGAGGCTCCTTTACCCCTCTGGGCAACCTGTGCCACTGCTTGGTCACCCTCACAGTAACTAAATGCGTCCTGATGTTCAGAAGGAATCTCCTGTGTTTCAGTTTGTGCCCGTTGCCTCTTGTCCTTTTACTGGGCACCACTGAAAAGAGCCTGGTTCCATCTTTGCACCCTCCCTTCAGATATTTTTATACGTTGGTAAGTTTCCCCTAAGCCTTAGCTTCTCCGGGCTGAACAGTGCAACTTTCAGCCTTTTTAATATCTCCAAGGATTGAGACTTTACAACTTTTCTGGGCAACCTGTGCAGATGGATGAGCAGGTGGGATCAAGGAAGGACCTCATTGTCCTAACCAGGCTTTCCTGTTCTTAGTTATTTTAGCCAAAAAAATTAAGTTTCAGGAAAAGACATTGTAACTGGAGTGTTATTGTTAATGAGTGCAGGGTTTGCATTGGAGGGTGGAAAGCAAGGACTATAAAGGAACTAGGAAGACCCTTGTCTCCACTTACAAAGCTTTTTTTCTTCTAGATGGTTTTGTTATCTCTACATGTCAGTTGTCGTACAAAATGGTGCCCTTGCTTTGTTTCTATGTCCTTTAGAAGTTACTGGTAGAGTCAAAGTTCTTGGAGCTGTCCATGTTGTCCTCCGCCTCTGAATCCTAATTAAACACTCTAAATCTGTTATGAAGAGGAGCTAACAGAGCTATTTCACTTTGGTATATCATTGTATGTGAGACTTGGGTAAGATATGAATGCAGGTATTATGAGGTCTAACAAAAGCGTGGAATATTCAGGCATACACCTACTGACAATGCGAATGTGCCATCAGGTTGTCACTTGCAGGAGAGGTAATTTAATTTAGAGCAGTGGATGCTGTTCACTTTAACTTTTGCAATGACTTTGACACAGTCTCTAGTACAGTCAGTGTAGCCAATTTGGTGACAAATGTACTGCATAAGCAGACTACTAGATAATGCAGAAAATTGGCTGGCCACTAGATTCAGAGGGCTTTGATCAGTGGTATATAATCCAGTCGTTGGCTGGTTATTAGTGGCATTCTTTAGAGTTGGTACTGGGCGGATACTGTTTAACATCTTTATGATACAGACAGTGAGACAGAATACGTCCTCAACAAGCTGGTAGATGATACTAAACTGGGGGGGAGCAGTCAATAGGCTGGAGGTTAGGGTTGCTATTTAGTGGGACCTCAGCAGGCTGGAGAAATGGGCTGGCAGGAACATCATGAAGTTCAACAAAAAAAAAAAAAAAAAAAAAAAAAAACTTTTTACAAAGC